GGAGGGAGGTGGGGAGAAAACCCTGTAGGTCTGGGGAATGATGCTCTGTGATTAATTTCTGCACGAAGGAAACTCACTTTTAATCAACATTATTTATAGGGTTAATCTAAAGGCAGTGTTTGCTGGAGAGCGAGCCGGCACGGGATATGACATGTGCAGGAGATGGATGGAGTATTGCCACACTACTTTGAATCAGTTTGGAGCAGAGAGGGTGGTAACCAAGGATACGGTATAATTGATGGCGAAGATCTTCCAAAGCAATCAGTGATTTGGGAACCCTCAGGTTGGACGTCCCCCATGAGATATCTGGAAGAGGCCTCCTGTTACCTTGAACATGCTGGGAACCCCAGTCTGAAAATCTGGTCCTTCTTGAAAATTGTAGTCTGTACATCTAGGATCCCATTTTAAACCAGGAGTGAAATTGCACTGATCCTTAGCATTTGGTGTATGTCTGCTGAAATGAAGAATGTATTGAAACCCAAGACTTTCCTGTCTTTTGGCTGCCTGTATGAGCTGTACACCCCAGATGCAAAAATAGAGGCCAATTTGAAGCCACAGGTGTAAGGAAAACTCCCCGTACCTTGAGTTCCTGCCTGTCAAATGGGGTTAACGCTTCCCTCTTTCGCATGGCTGTTGTGAGGATACACTCTAAATCCCCCAAAAACACAGAACAGGAACCATACTGGTATTTCAGTGATAGCTAGAGAGAGAAAATAAAACCTTGCAAAACCTGGGTAGGGGCTGAGATCCACCAACACCTTCTCTAGCTGCTAGGGAATTTCCCAGCGATGTATTTGGTAGCCGTGTTGGTCTGAGACGAAAAGAAATGCAAAAATCTAGAACTCTTGGTTCAGAGATGATACCTGTTATTAGACCAACCGAGAAATTGCAAAAAAATATATATCTTCTTCTGGAAGCTTTCAGGCTCTCACACCCTTCCTCAGGCTCAGGGAAAGTTAAAGAAGGTAAAAAGCCCCCATAGGTAGGAAATAAACTTAATTTTTGCACAGAGGAAGCTGAAGCGGCAAATCTGTCCCACTGAGTCCATTAGTTGACAGGAGCTGTGTTTCCCCAGAGGGACATATTTCTGTGCACCATTATCCGGAGCAACTGCCGGACCCTAGTGGAGTAATCATAACCCCGAGACCCTGCAGCTCTCAAGATTATAGGCCCTTCCTGATTTTTATTTCTGAGGGCAATGCAGCAAGAGTGGTGCCTTCAGACTACTGCTGAGCTGAAACAGCTATTTCCTGAAATAGGGATTCCTCTAGCAAGAGGGCTTCATGCAAGAAGGACTGCATGGGGGTGACATTTAGTGGGTGAATGACAGGCAAACACTGTCCATTCACTAGGATGCATGATCGGGAAGAGGGACAAACACCCCTGGATTCACCTGAGCTCTTGCAGCACCTCTTCATTGCAGCGTGTACCCTTGCACTAGAGGCAGGCAGAGAGGTGGCTGCTGGTTCAGTGCATTTCTACAAGGAAGGCCTCTGCTCCAGCGGTGCAGACACAGGGGCGAGTAGCTGGAAGTCCAGAGGCCGAGGGGTTCGAAGCCATAACAGAAGCATTCATGGGGCGGCTATGTCAGATTCCAACAAATCTCTAAATTCTGCTAAATACTTTGTCACGAGGACATGAGAAAGGCCACCAGTTTGCCAAGAGAGCATTTGTTTCTACCAACTAAAACCACACGGCCCTAGTCCATGAAGCTAGAGCTGGGGACTCTGATCAGTGCCATACCTAGATTCCTGGAGGCCCTGGGCAAATTTTAGTATCAGCCACCCTTTGCCAGAGATAATGATAATAATAATTGCACACCGGAAAAAAAAAATTATCATTTTCAGGCCTCCTTTCTGTCCAGCCGCCCAGTTTGCCCGTGCCTATGTCCGGCTCTGTCTGTGATCTCCAGACAGGAATTTGCACAGAAGTGGCTGATCTCTTCTTTTGTTTAGAAGGGATTTCCACCCCCACCATTTCACTCCTCTCTCCAGCATGGCAGTGTGGAGTGCGAAGGGTGGCTTATTTAAGGAAAGCCATCTGCACACACAAAAAAGGCAGAGCCCACATAACCCTAATAGCCCACCCAGTTCCAGCTTTTAGCAGGACCTGCAGTAACCCACGCGCTGGCACCGAGACCAACCGGATGAGTTGGATGGGATAGAAAGAAAATCCTGCAGCTGTTTCAATCCTCTTTCCACGTGTCCTTTAGCATTTTACACATAAACCGAGATCTCCAGCCTGTGCCCATGTTGCGTTGGGCAATATGCTGCCTCTAAAAAGAGCCCGAGTTGCTGTTTTTAGCCCAGCGCATACATGGAAGGATACTTTTGTCTTTTATGAATTACAGCCTTTCTGCTGATTTAGGGCCTCATCCTGTGTGAGGCTCTCATCTGTTGCTTGCATGGTGTTTTGTGCCTCGGGACCCAGCACACTGCACAGTTGTAACCTGCTAACTTGATCTCCTGTCTATCCTCTGCAAAAGGATTCCCAAGAAGTCAGTACCTAGAAAGAAGTACAGAGATGCTCAGAGCCGTGGTGAACAGCACAGAAAAGAGCGTGGCACTCCGCTTTGATTTCACCTCTGCTTTTATCACAGATTCTGTGTCTGCGGTCGCTTTAATCCCACCTGTTTGCAGATCCCTCCTGCGTTTATTTTATTAGACACCACCGGAGGTGTTCGGGGAGAAAGGAAATGCTCCACCCCAAACTAACCAGAAGTAACCCATCCGGCCTAAAGCTTGCCCACACCATAGGGCTTCTCGTTGTGGAAGCAGCCCTGATCACCAGGGCAGGGCTGAGAAGGGAAATGGAAAGAGTACGACCCTGTCATCTCAAAGGATGTCTCACAAAATCATGGGGCCTCTATGCAACCCACCAATGTGTTTGTCAGGAGATGCAAAGCATGGATCATCTCCTGAGATGCCCTGTCGCGCCACCGTGCACCCCACGAGATCTGGCAACCGTAACATCAGAAGCACTGGGACCGGCCCAGATAGAAAGGGTGGATTGGAGACACAATGAAGGAGGATCTGAAAGCCACTATTGAGTAGGAAATGGCCGGGGTTAGGGTGGCTTTGTTTGCCCCCAGCAGCCCCAACAGCCTCACTGCCCGCATGGGCTGCTGCTCCCACCCTGCCTCCCCCTCCTGCCAACTCGAGACAGGAATGACGCATGATCTGAAACGGGTTCAAATGTGTAACACAACAGAAGTACAGCAGACTTAAACCCTTTTCAAACCAGTTTAAGATAAACCTGGATGAGTATAGCATCGGACTGAACTGATGTAGGTTAAACCGGCTTATTAAACTCCTGTGCCAGATCCCCTCCAGATTCAAGCACCGGCGGAGCAGGAAGACGCGCTTTTGCACCGTCCAGCTTCCGCTGCATTTCTGGAATCAAAAGTGAAGGTGTGTTCGCTTGCTTGTGGGGTCAAGCTACACCGCTCAGAGGAAGAGGTTTTATGGGCAGAGGTGGAGCGGCATGGGACTCTTCAGCCTATAAGTGTACAGGATAAGGGGTGCACATCAGGACATCTGTTCACCAAGGGAAGACAAGGTCCCATTTGAGACTGGACAGAAGGAAAAACACCCGGACCCTGCGAGACTCTGGACCCCAGGTGGCTCGCAGCCCACGGGGCAGGGGCTGTCCCGAAGTGGGGGCAGGTTGATGGGTTTGGTGCGTGCCCAGCACCCCGCACAGCACAGCTGGGGGCCAAGGGGCAGGGGTTGGAGACCTCAGGGCGCAGCCGGGGTCCCTCCCCTCGCCCGGCGCCCCGTGTCCCGGCGCCGCTCTCCTCCCCCGCCCCGCGGCAGGAGGCGGGCGGAGCGGAGCGCAGCGCGAGAGACCCCTCTGCTCCAGGCTGTGCCCCACCGAGCATGGGACAGCCCCCCGTGCGGGGCTGCTGCGTCCCTTCTGAGCCTGGGGGAGACCCCTCTGCTCTGGGATTCAGTCCTTGTGCCCCTCCGAGCATGGGAGAGACCCCTCTGCTCCAGGCTGTGCCCCACCGAGCATGGGACAGCCCCCCTCTGCTCTGGGATTTAGTCCCTCCAAGCCTGGGGGAGACCCCTCTGCTCTGGGATTTAGTCCCTCCAAGCCTGGGGGAGACCCCTCTGCTCCAGGCTGTGCCCTTCTGAGCATGGGAGAGACCCCTCTGCTCTGGGATTTACTCCCTCCAAGCATGGGAGAGACCCCTCTGCCCTGGGCTGTGTCCCTCTGAGCATGGGAGAGACCCCTCTGCCCTGGGATTTAGTCCCTCTGAGCATGGGAGAGACCCCTCTGCTCTGGGATTTACTCCCTCCAAGCATGGGAGAGCCTCCCTCTGCTCTGGGCTGTGTCCCTCTGAGCATGGGAGAGACCCCTCTGCCCTGGGATTTAGTCCCTCTGAGCATGGGAGAGACCCCTCTGCTCTGGGATTTACTCCCTCCAAGCATGGGAGAGCCTCCCTCTGCCCTGGGCTGTGTCCCTCTGAGCATGGGAGAGACCCCTCTGCCCTGGGATTTAGTCCCTCTGAGCATGGGAGAGACCCCTCTGCTCCAGGCTGTGCCCCTCTGAGCATGGGAGAGACCCCTCTGCTCTGGGATTTACTCCCTCCAAGCATGGGAGAGCCTCCCTCTGCTCCGGGCTGTGCCCCTCCATGCATAGGAGAGACCCCTCTGCTCCGGGCTTCAGTCCTTGTGCCCCTCTGAGCATGGGAGAGCCCCCCTTTGCTCTGGGATTTAGTACCTATGCCCCTCCAAGCCTGGGAGAGCCCCCCTGAGACTCCAGGCTTCAGTGCCCATGCCCCTCTGAGCATGGTAGGACCCCCCTCAAACTCTGGGCTTCAGTCCCTGTGCCCCTCCAAGCATGGGAGAGCCCCCCTCTGCTATGGACTTCAGTGCCTGTGCCCCTCGGAGCTGCAGAGCTTGTGCCCCTCCAAGCCTCCCTGCTCTGGGCTGCAGAGCCTGTGCCCCTCCGAGCCCTTCTCTGCTCTGAGCTTCGGTGCTTGTGCCCTTCCGAGCATGGCAGAGCCTCCCTCAGACTCCAGGCTTTGGTGTCTGTGCCCCTCTGAGTGTGGTAGGACCCTCCTCCGCTCCAGACTTTAGTGCCTGTGCCCCTCTGAGCATAGTAGGACCCCACTTAAACTCCAGGCTTTGGTGCTTGAAGCTTGCCACAGATGCAGCCCAGAAGATTGAAGGAGGAAACAGGCTCATGTTGAGCCTTTCAAATGCTTGTTAACCATCAGCTGCACCCATCCCAGACAGCCCTCCCGTGTTTTTCAACACTAGCATCCGGAGTTAACCACCGTGCTGGCACTGCCGCCCGGTGCCTTGGCATTGGTGCGTCACTCTCCTGCAGTGCTCAGCTGAATGTGTTCCTCCTGTACGTGCCCATCACCCTGGCACAAAGGGGCTGTGCACGTAAAGACAGGCTCTGTAGTCTGCCTAAGGCCAGAAGGGACCGGGTGACATGCAGGACGAAGACTCTCTGGGGTTTTCCTGGCTGACATTAAGTGTCTCTGTCTCGTGCTTTCCCTGCAGTGTGCGGTCACGTGGAAACCCGAGCCCACGCTGAGGAAAGGCTCCTGAAGAAACTCTTCTCGGGCTATAACAAGTGGTCCCGCCCTGTAGCCAACATTTCGGACGTGGTGCTGGTCCGCTTTGGATTGTCCATCGCACAGCTCATTGATGTTGTAAGTGAAACGGACTGGAGCAAGGAGCACTGGAAGCTTTTCAGGCCAGGCCTAATTCCCTACCCAAATCCCTGCATGCGGAGATGCTCTTGAATGATCCCGGGTCAGATTGTGAGTGCCTTATTCACCTGGGAGAAGAGTTATCACAGGAATAGTCCTGTAGAAATGAATGGGACAACTTCCGTGAGTAGTTGCACAAAGTGTTCACAGCCTGCTCTTTTATTAGTTAGTTGTGTTAGTCAAAACTCTGAAGTCCGTAGTGAAATAAGAAAAGAAAACCCAAGCATGACTGTAGTAGATGTGGTACAGTACAAATCTAACCAGGCTCCTGCCTGAGATAGACGGACCAATTCATCATCCCACTGTTAAGTTCAAGAAGAATTTGGGCTGAGCAAGAAACAAGGCAGGAGCTTAGCATAGAAACTGTAATTATGAATTATGCATTATTATCCTAACCGGTTGTTACACATGTAACTTATCTTGTCCGTTTGTCACTTTGGGTGATTGGAGGCACGGTATCTGAGAGCAAACGTTCCCACGTGTTTGCTCAAAGAGAAGCTCCCTGTAGGCAGAATTAGATATGGCCTCCGCAAAGTGGATGATGGGTTGTTAGGATGATTCAGTATGCATTGAAAGGGTATCAAAAAGCACCTTGTTTTGTAGCATTTGGAGCTCAGTTTGCAAAGAAAACATGCGTGCCTGCTTGCTCGCTCACGCACAGCGAGGGACAAATGCACATGAGCTTTTAAATGTGCAAAATGGGTTGGCGTGATTGTGTGTACAGATGCCCATTCATGCATGCAAGTGCAGTTTCTGTGGGTGCAGGGTTGGTGTGTGTGTGCACATGCTTATTTTGAATAAGTGGCATGCTGTATTATTGGAAGCTGTCCGAATTATTTCCTTCGGATATGCACTGCTCGTGCGTGAGACAGAGAAAAGAAAGGTAATCTATGCAGCTGGAGTGTAGTACAAAGATTTATTGGCACACATTTGTGCTTACACACAAATGGTACAGCCAGAAGTGAGTTAAGCAGGTCATTCCAGATGAGTGCTTATTAACCTTGCAAACCACGCTGCGCTATCATGCATTTTGCATATACCCTCTATGTAATAGAAAACCCATTTAAAAAATGGATTAAAGGGAAAGAACTATGGAGGCTCATTTTCATACCCCTCCCTATGAGAAGCCAAGATTTTCCAGTGCCATGTGGGACCCAGAAATATTAGAGCTAAACCAGTTTACAAACCTCTGAAAGATCTGTAGTAGCTTTTCCATACATCATATTACTGAGATCCTTTCATTCTTCGCTGAGCCAGGAGGGTACGTGTGAACTCCCTTGGGAAGATGACAAGTGCTCTTTCCTAGTGGTGTGAAGCTCTGATTTCTAGCCTGAATGAGCCATGAGATTTAACTCAGACCTTCAACTCATAATCATTGCTCAAATATTGTCCACCTTGGGGTTTATAGTGTGATGTTGTGGGATGCTTTCTGAGTTTGGAGGGAAAGAAGAAAACAGGATGGTTGGTTCTAAAATGGTGGGGATTTGGAGCTGCGGTCACTCAAGAGCTACTCAAAAAGAGGGGAGATTGTTGGTCAGGGTATGGGGGATGATGATGGCAGATTACTGATGCATGCATTTTGCCATATGGTACTACTATATCTTACCCATCCATAATCACGTTGTGTGTGGCATACATACATCTGCAGTGAACCAGCGTTTGCAAAAGGCAGGGCCTAGGTGTCCAGGGGGTTGTGCCCATCTCTGCCTAAAACCTTTAACTCAACTTTGCAAGCTCGAATTTGTCTTCCGTTCTGTGCCTTTCCCTTGCATCAGACCGAGAAACACAAATCTGCCTGCAAGCTGCTCGTGTTTAGGCTGTATGCATTTCATGTGAATAATTGATAACTTCTGAAGATGGTACATTACTGATTGCGATGGCACAAGATAGACTTTCCATTATGCACCAGCCAAATCATAGAAAGGCAAGATCAATACTTGTGCTTTGAAGTGCTTTTCCTCTCCTACCTAAGGAGAATCTGCCTCGTGCCAAATGTTTTGGTGCTTAAAACTCTAACCAGCAGGCAGTTCTGCCAGAAACCTGATGAATACATTTAGGAAGTTATATGTCTCATTTCCTTCCAGATTTGCTCAGTTACTGAGTGACCCTTTCCCTAATACTATTCCTGTATCACGGCCCCGATCCAACCAAGCCTCGGTATAATTCTCCCTTGCACTGATTCTTTATGATACGTAGCCTGGCTGCTGGGCATGCTGATAGAAGTACTTTGTGCCATTTGCAGTAGAGTTTGTGTCTCCTACAAATACATCCCAATGTCAGGTGATTAAAAAAAAAAACAGATGCAGGACTCAATTTCTGACTCAGGCTGGCAAAAGCCAGAGAAATCAATGTTAAATCCACTGTCCCTCTGTATTCCTATTTCATGCTGTTGTGCTTAGGTCAATTTGCTCCAAGATTATAATGATAAGGTATCAAAGGCATATATGTGTTCAAGAGCAGACTGGGATGAAACGCATCAGCCTGGTAAGTCGCTCTTTGCTACAGTGCACCTTGAGAAATCAACTATGCAGTTAAATTCCACCCTCCGCTGTATAGATTGCATTTTCTCACACATAATACACTTCAGACTCTTAACACGTGCCTTGTTTTTTGAAAGGCTAGGTGAAGAAAAAAACCCAAGAGATTTCCTGGTGGTAAATAACTGAGTAGCATCAGCTAGGAGGTCAAGTTTGCTCACGGTTCTGCTCTTTTGGATCACTGCAGATTTTTACTTTTGGTTTTAACAGACCCCACTCTTACCATATTTATCACATATAATGCACACTTAAATTTCTAGCATCTGTTTTTCTGGGGGGAAAGGTGCATGTTGCATGTGATAAAATGTGAGACTAGCATGACCCTTCTGAGCCAAACTGTATGCATGCTATGAGGGTGTGGTTTAGTAGAGGAGAATGAGCCAGGGAATAGTTCGACACAGTTTGGTACTCTTTTGAATAGCAGCGAAACCCATGAGACCAGAATCACTTCTTGTATATCAGCTTAATTGGAGGAAGTGCATTACAGGGATGGATGGGATCCAAAGCAGCAAAGCAGCAGCTGGCAAGAGGGTCAGGGTATAACAGTAAGGAGAGCACATCCTTTAGCCTTGGATCTCCAGGCTTGTGTTTGATATTCCCACACCCTGCCTCTTTCCATAGGAAGGATCATCAGTGGACCTGCTCCTATGCTGGGGGAAACAGCGGAGCTTGCAAGCAGGAAGAGCCCTGATGGTTTTCACTCTTCTTCTGCATCTCGGTTTGCTTTTGCAGTATAGGGGAACAGGCAGGGGCCTGTGAAATGGAAAAGACCCTAACTCACCCAGAGTCCTTGTATGCAGTAGTGGCAGCTCATCCTTGACTCCAAATCCCTGCCTTTATGATTCAGGCATTTCAGAGCAGCTCTCCGATCAGTATTAGAGGTTTAGCATTGCAGCTGCAATGACTAGGCACAGCAAGGGTGAGTTAAAGATGAGGCATGGCCTAAGCTGCAAGTTTCTGGCTTTTAAGGATCAGCATTAAGTGTGAACTGGAAGGAGTATGCAGTTAATCACGGTGAGCCCTTGGCTCTTAAAGGGCACTGACACCTGAGGATGGTTTGAAGCCAGGCCAAGGAGGAGGAGAGGATAAAAAGCTCTTGGTTCTGCCGTGGAAATTCAAACTGGCAAGAGCTGAATGGTATCCAAAGTGTTTTTCCTTGGTTATTTACCAGCAGTTGTAATTACTGTACAAGCCAACTAGCAAAGATTAAACAATTCAGTGTAGTTTAGTGAATAATTCCTCAGATGTTTGCAGGGCTTAGATGTCTGCCTTTATTTACATGCTTCTGGCTTTTGCACCTCAGCAGTCCCTTCACGTTCAGAGCTGGAAAAAGAGCATGATCACTCGAGCTCCTGAGGAGGTTGTGGGTTTGCAGAGTCACTCCCAGCTCCTTGGCCAATTGAAGTGAATCGCTGCTCTTTCAGGTTATCGTATTGCACAGCACGAGGCATACTGCTGGCACTCGCCTCTCCCCAGACTGCACCTGCAAAAACAGGGACACAGATTTTCATTAAGATGGGACAAAATCTCCAGGCAATTGCTTGTGCAGAGTGTGTGCCCCTTGGAGGGGTGGTACCCTGCCCTGGGGGCGCATAACCCGCAGGAGAGACATGCAGTGACACCAAGCAGTTGCCCCATCTGACCCCACTATATCCTGACCTCTTTGCTGCCGCTGAGCACTAGCCATTGTGGCCCCCCTATTTTACCCGTGGCAGGTTGCAATGTCTTCTGGTTGTGTCAGGGTTGAATGTGAGATTTTGGTAAGAGGTTAGACAGTGGGCTTGGAGAGGATGGTTTGGATAAAGATATCAGGCATGGGGTTGGACTAGATGACCTCCAGAGGTCCCTTCTATCCCAATTTCTTTATGACTCTAAGAATGCACCCTAAGTCATGCAGACAAAAGACTAAATAGCTCTGAATATACCCATATCCCCTTCCTTCTGCAAGCACGTGTGCAGATGTGGTAAATGCATACAGCAGGAGCCAAAAATGCCTCTAAGTAGCTGTTTGCCTAGATGCTTACTGCCACCAAGCACACTTGCTCTCTGAAGGGGAAACTTGTCTCTGGTAAAGACTTTTATGTGCAGTTTTGCTAAGAGGTGCGACAGTGCATTTGTATAGGATGGTTTGGATAGGGATGAGCCTGCCTCGGGCAGGAGGGTGGACTAGATGACCTCCGAAGGTCCCTTGCAACCCTACTTTTCTATGATTCAAGGGCACAAATAACTTCCAGTGGGATTAAGTGCCTAAATCTCCTAGACACTTTAAAATATCTTGCCCTACCTTCAGAGACTACGCTCTTTACAGTGGCATTCGGGCTTCTCATTTACCCCTTTGGGATGGTTTTTCCTGCAGTATCTTTTATCCTGGTATCAAGTACCGATCAGCCAAGACGCTGGCGTGCCCAAGTAGATGCACAAACACGTGCCTTCTTGTTCGTGTCCTTCCAAACTTTAATTTACTCTGGGAGGGAAAAAGAGAATGCAAGACAGGTGTCAGAGAAGATGTTTAAACAGTGTTGTGCTCTGGGATTAGTCTTGGAGGGAGCAAACATGTCAGGAAATAGGTGGCTGACAAGCCTTCATTTGTAGATGACCAGTTCAAACACAGTTTGAGTTGGTTATGATCAAGAAGTTGGTCTCTACACGACGGCTTTTCAATGACCTCTGTTAGAGTGATTGGATCTCCACTTGCTAACACTGTTACAGTAATGGGCCCAAACTATTAGTGCCTTTGTTAGCAGCTCCCTTAGAGGTGTGAACAGGTCCAGAGACTGGGCCACCCTCTTGTCTATAGAGGCGTTCCTTTGGAAGAGCTGGCTGGGCGAGAAAGGGAAGATTTCGCTGGGTTTGCCTGTCTTATGGATAGACCCTGACCCATCCGGAGCTGCAGGTTTGTCCTTTACCAATGCAATGCTTATTTTAAAGATCGAGAGCAAGAGAAAAATGGGTCTTGGGAAAATGAATATTGTTTTTCAAAGAAGATCATTGTAAATTAAATTACAATGAGTGTGTGAGCAATCGCCGCGGCAAACAGGCATTCCTTTCCCAAAGGAAGGCAAGCTTGCAGACTTGGGAGTGTAAAAATAACTCTTAGAAATGCTTCACGCTTTCAAGTCAGAGTGTCAGGATGTGAATACTGATAAAACCAATGGCCAGCTTTCACTACCAGCCTAGCTGAATGCTGTCGTCTGGGACCGGCTGCAGGAATTCCCTTGTGAACTGTGCAGGTACGTGTGGAAACGCGGTGCAGTCAGGAGGAATGAGGAAGGGCTTGGAAATGTAGCAGGGTTGAGCTCTTTGCCTAGTATGACTGTTTCGCTTCCCGTCTCAGCATCTCCAGTCTTCAAAAGGGGAATAATAATGGTTATTCCCCTATATCACAGGGCAGCTGTGAAAACTCCATGCCATGCTCTGGACATGCTGTGTATTGGTATTATTGGGAGGTGGTGGTACCTCGTTTTCTCAGAGTTACGTTGTCAAACTTCATTAAAGCAGGAATCCCAAACCTGTCCCTAAGACAGACGAGGTTCTTTGGGTCAATCTGATATCTTTGATTAGACCAACTCAAAGAGTTGGAAAAAATTCTTCTTTGCAAGCTTTTGGGTATAAATACCCTTCATCAGGCTGAGGAAGCATCTGCAGTTCAGCCTGATGAAGGGTATTTATACCCGAAAGCTTGCAAAGAAGAATTTTTTCCAACTCTTTGAGTTGGTTCTATAAAAGATATCGGATTTGCCCAAAGAGCCTTGTCTGCCTATGTCCTTAGCCCAACACAGCTGCAACCTGTATTCCTGAAACTAGTGCCTAATGCACTTGAGGGAACAAATCCATCCCCAGCCCCACTTCTGCACCCAGGTGCTACTGCGCTATGGAGGGAGGTCTTAAAAAGGACAGCTGGGAGGTGGCCAGTGAGACAACTTCTAAGGAGGTGTCAATGCCCCAGTGCTCAGGGAGTGATATATTATGGGGGGGAGATGATATATTAATCTAGCAAGCCTACCTCTACCATAGTATGGGTAAAGTGGAGCTGTGAGCCCTTTGCTGCACTTCCCCATAACACCATGCTCAATGCATAAATATCTAGGAAAATCCAAATAAATCCAAGTTGGTCTGATCCCAAGACTGATTAGTCCTTGCCTCAGCTGTTGGCTGATAATCAGCCAAATGCATTCGGTCCCGTGCTAAACCCCAGAAACATCTGCTTTTCTTTCTTTTCTTTTTTTTTTTCTTTTAGCTGGCGCTTCCACATACATTTAGGGCTGCGATTATTTATGGCTACAGAAATAAACGCCAGTAACAAAATGCAGGCATGGCATGGGCTGATTGAGCCACACGTTCTCTTCCGCCAACAAAGATGTTGCTTTTGCTTTTCAGGATGAGAAGAATCAAATGATGACCACGAACGTGTGGGTGAAACAGGTGCGTGTTCCCGAAGCGCAGTCTCTCAGGTTTGTTCCCCCTATCAGTTGCCGGCCTAACTGTGGGAGTTGCTTTGTCTTTGCTAGGAGTGGCACGACTACAAGCTGCGCTGGGATCCCCTGGAATATGAAAACGTGACATCAATCCGGATCCCCTCTGAGCTCATCTGGAGGCCGGACATCGTCCTGTACAACAAGTGAGTCTCTGCTTGGTTATCAGAAGGCCACGTTAACCCTCAAAATCCTGTATGTTGCTTAGACGGGTCTAAATTGTTATTCCCCCCTCATAACTGCATGCACCTTCCAGTTGTGCAATGAAGAATGTGGCCAACATCTGTCTCATACTGTTCTCATTCTCCCAGGATGACAACTGTGCGTGCAATGCAGCGTTTGGTTGTGTTGAGGGTTTTGCTTCCATTTTTAAACATACATCCCAGTGACACACAGCTGCCAGACCTGAGCTTCCAGCCCCATTGAGCACTTTATAGTCTTTCACCATCAGCTATAACACCTGACTTCTGGGAACGGTGCTGTAACAAAACTTACTAGCAAGTACTCTGAAAAGGACTCCTTGCATTAGCTGGTCCCTGCTGCTGATGAGTTGTGGTCTGAATTCCCCTTGGCAACCTTTCCCTCCTAGACATTACGGCCTCCAGCTTCAAACCAAAGTGGCTTTCTGGACTAGTGTTAGAAGGAAGGGAAGGCTCCTATTGAAAAGGGATTCACAACCTGCTACATAGTGTTGAGGGGTCATTTTTCAAGTGATGGAATCAGCCCCATTAATTTAATTATATCTGTTAACAAAAGGTCGTTGCACGATCTGAGTGTTTGAAATGTGGCTCTCAGATGGGCACATAACAGTGGAGCTGGTTGTTGCTTTTCTGTATTTTAGAGGCTGTTGATCTCTTTTGTCCGGTTGGGGCCACAGTCTGTTGTTTGGCAACTTCACGAGCTGGGGTATCAGACTTTCCAATGCCACAGTCCGTGTCAGGATGTTTTAGCGAGATGAGATATGAGCAGGTTTAAATAGAAAGTTATCTGGGCGTCGGAAATATCAGAGAATACATTTCCCGTACTGAAAGGGATTGAACAATGCTGGCCAAATCTAACAAATTCATCTGCAAATATTTTGGGGAAGAAAAGCAGTGAATGTGCTTTGCTGTTCATCAGGGCATGCCGTTATTCATTGCTGCTGCATGTTCAGCTGGCTGCCTGCTGCTGATGACAACCCTTGTGCATCTGAAAAGTTTGAGAGTTTAACACAAATGATTCTTTTGTCTACAAATTCCAACCATAAACTATCGCTGGGGATTCGCTATTCAGCCTTCTCCTCTTCGCAAGGGTTCAGTCGCTCTTTTGGGAGGTGCGTAATAATACTGTGCTTTTTGTGGACAAGCATTCAAAGAGCAGAGACTACTCAGGGCTCTTAGAAATTCAAATGTGCCATAATTTATCCTTGGTGCTTCTGGGGAAAGAGGAAGCAGGAATGAAGGGGGTTCTCAGCAGCTTTTCTGCTCCTGCTATGATGGATTCAGCCAGGAACAAAACTAGCCCCAACGTAACATAGAGCAGAGTAAAGGCTGCTCTAAGTTACACCAGCTGGAGGACCTGCCCTCAAGTCTTCCCATCCATGTTGTGCGACGGGTGTGCAACTGGGAGAAAGAAGTAGGGGTGTAGCACACGATGCTCCATTTGGCTCTTTGCCACATAGGAGAACAGTGAAATTAGAGGCACAGATCTGTTCTTCTGGAGCTGGTTTAACATGAGGCTGCTTCTCCCTGGGTTCCTCCCTTCACCGTAAAAAAAATCCCTTGCCCTTGGGTGAGATCTTAAAGGTTCAGGGCAATATCTGCACTCCCTCTATAGTGCTATCCCCGTGCTTAGCAAAGAGAAGCACAGGCAGAAGGGCCCTTGCCAGCCAACACCGTCCATTGAAAGCCTATACCCTGTGGCAGTGCCAGCCCAAACCTCTCCTCCTCTGTAATGCCAGCTGCATGGGCCCACTTTGAGTTGTTTTTTTCAATTAATGTCTAAAGTAAAAATATAGTAAGGGGATCGGACCCTGTAAATCAATGGCATTTGCATTTCCTTGTCTCTAGGGACCCGATCCATAAATGGTGCTGAGCAATTGCAGCTCTTACTGAAACCCCTGGGAGGATTGCGTGCTCAGCACCTCTGATGATTACAGTGGTTATTATTAATTCACGAGCACTCAGACCTCCTCCTCCTCCTCAATGCAGACCCAAGCACAGCACTAATATCATGTGATTAGGGCCTTAAATTGAAACCGAGGAACACTGCACCCTTCACAAGGGGGAATGAGTCCTTATTGCTACACAAAAAATGTCATTCTCTACATCCAGTTCTCAATTCAGGAGCCCCAGACACCCACCTGAATAGCAGTGAACTCTGAGAAGGTTATTAATACAACAAGAATGAATGAGTTTTCATCTTATTTACCTTCCCCATCTGATATCATCACCATCACCGTCATCTCTATTTAGGAATGCATTGAAGCCCCCATCATCTAAATACAGAACAAAGCGGTGGTCTTTGCCCCAAGGAGATTACAAACAAAGCAGAAGGTCACAGGAGTGTTGCTAACCGTTTTACATGGGCATAAAGGTCTGTCACATCCACGTCCCTGGATCTGTGGATTCAGGGGTTCATTTGAACTGCAAGTGTCACTGGTTGGTTATGGTGGGATGCGTATGATAAAGGACACAGCAGAGAGATAGGCCAGTAGACGTTAAGAGTGGGGTGGTAGTGGTCAACACAAAAAGCAGTAATCCCAGCTGCAAAGATTTCTTCCTATGTTAGGGTTTGGGGTTGGGTTTTTTTGTGGGGTGGGGAGGCGTTGCTAATCTAAGAGGCCTTTAAAGCAGGTGTAATTAATGGCCACTTGCAAGGTGCTATATATTGCCAGAATAGGGGGCTCTAGTGGCACTGAACATCTGGCCCACTAGACTTAGTCCAGTGTTTATCCATTTTAAGGCCAAGTATTTCCTGTCCGGACAAGGAGAGTCCTAGTGTTTTTATTGAGGATGCAGTGTTTTGGGAGAAAGTTTCTGGATAGGAGACTACACAGAAGCCTTTCTTGTTTTCACCTTTGGGACTATACGGAAATTATGGACCTGAAATGGAATCGAGAGATTTTCATCTTCAAGGAAATCATACCCCTTGTTGTTAGTTATTCTCTTATCTAAGCTCATTATTGCCAAATGCTTCCATTTATTCACTCTAGAGGCCCAAATTAAATCAGTAAATGTGGCCAGTGTGGCCTAGAGAGTATATGTGCTTGTCAACATTCATAAGGAATTTAAAACCAAATTAATATCCTAGGGGGAAATTAACATGCTGTTGGGTTTTGCAGCCTTGATGAGATAAACTCCAAGCCTGAAAATAGTTTCTAGTCAACGTGACAAAACACATGTAAAATAAAGGAAGGCGATTTAATCGGGAAATGGCAAAACCTCCCTCCCTTCCCTCCCTGTGCCAAGAAAACCAGATGCTCCATAATGGGATTTGTAACGTTCAGGCAGGTAGTTTTACCCTAGGCTCGCTCGTGGTGGCTGACCCATTTGTAGTGAATAGTACTTTGAGCAGGTTTGCCCTCACTTTCCATGCATGCGTTGTCATTGAGCACCTTGCAATTTTCCTGAACTGATTTGCTTTCAAAATTATTCATATAGTAGTTCAGAGGGGAAATCATGAGTTCTGGTTAACCCTTTCCTGGTCTCCCTTTCAACGTGGGCATGAGGCATGTACCATGTATCACCTATGTCAGTGCATGGGGATTTCTGCAACAGGAGTGTAGCTGCTAGCTAGCTATTTGACATGGAGATGAAGGTCTGTCAGATCTGTAGCCGGCCATGGCTCTGGGTCTGCAAATTCATCAGTTCACTTGAAAAATTCATGCTTTGCTGGCTGGTTTTGGTTGGATGCCTCTGATATGCCACCTGAGTGAGTGTAAGGCTTAAGAAGCGGAGTCTAGTGCGAGTATTTGCAGTTGGGAAATATTGCTCAAACCAGGACTTCTGCAAAAAATCCCATTCTGAACACCTCACCTAATAGCTAAGATTTACAGCTGTAAAAAAAACCCAACCTGCAGGTACATATAAGTGACCGTGCTTATGGATCGGTACACATACATCTATACTGCACCTTCTCAGAGTTTAGTGGAAACTGCATTCCTCACCTAACTCATTAATTTGTAGCAAGTGTTTCCTTGGCACAAAATATTTGCTGAACAAACCCTGCTTTAATTTGCCATTGGAGAGTCATTTAATCTGAATAGTACAGTTGTATCTCTTTAATGCTTAGTAAGGCGGGGTGGGGAGGTAGAAGGTTTGAAGGAGAGAGAACTTCAGTAACCCAGATCTGTCTAGGTTTCTGCTTGTGGATGAAAAATGCTCTAAATGAAGGACTATCTGGCTATATCTATATATGTATATAGCTAATTTGCAGGCTTCTCGAGCGCTGTTTAAATTAAAATTGTGTAGTCAGAAATTAAAATAAATTTGCGCCTCATTTATATGCATTCTGAAAACATTTAATTTTATGAGCTGATGTATCTCCCAACTGCAGGGAAAATAGAAATTGGCAAAAGAGTCTTCATCAAGGCTTTTTAATGAGGCGCACTCGATATTTGTCAGTAGAACAATACCGCTCTTGAATCTCAATTCAGCTCTTTTTGTGATAGCTATGAAGTGAGAAGTTCAAGGAAACGTTGAAGTAAGGAAGGGGCTGCCGGTCTGTGAACGGAGGGAAGAACAATGCCGAGATGTTTTCAGAGGTGGTTAACGAGCGTCTCTCTTCTTTGCGTTGGTAGAAGTGATTGTGTCTGGCATAAAAAAAAAAAATTAGGAGTTCTGGAAATAATTACTGGCAGATATTAAAGAGCTTTCGAGGCCTGAATAGTCAAGAGAACTTGGCTACCTTAACTGCCTTGAAGGCACTCTTCTTCTGATGTACACCTCTTACTAGCCAGACTTTCTGAATGCTTTTTCCCCTGCACCAGTTTGCAGCTGCCTTGTCTTGGTGGAGCAAGATAAGAATACGGTTCTGCTCTGAACAATAACTGCATTCAAATGGCTCAGGTTTGCCCATAAGGGACTATGCTAGTCAGATTTGCTAAGTAATTGCTAGCGTGACGTTTGTCCCAGGCAGTGCGAGTGTCTCGGTTAGCGTGGTCTGA